TGAATTTATTAGGGGTATTTAGTCATTTGTGTCGCCCAAACTAAAGTTCGGCTTTGGTTAAAGGTTTTTTAATGAAAATTTTAACAAAAGGGCATGTTTGATCATTTTTACAAAGTACAAGGGCATGTTTGATGTAAAAAATAGTAGAGGGACATGTTTGATAAAACGTCATAGTAGAGGGGCATATTATACCTATAACCCAAAAAACAAAGGGGTCATTTGCTTGTAGGATTTTGATGAGGGATTTTGTCTCAAAATTCCACATATGATGGATTATGTCTCAAATCCATGTTTATTGACTAAAATGAGGCTGGTCTAAATCCGTTGGGCCCATAGATGTGAGATTATTTTTTTTGGCAAGGTTGACCTAAAATCCACTACTCATTACTTACCGCCAAATGGGGGAGTTGAGTCAGTTTTAGCAAGGTTGATTTTGTAGTTTCATTCACTAACTAGCAACTATAATTTATCATTTCGACTAATTAATAACTTAAAATGGTAATAGTTCTTCTATGGCAAAAAAAAGTTAATGGTATCGAGTTAGTTGTTTGTGGTGAACGTACGATAGGGAGGTCCGAGCTTGGATATTCGTATATGATTAGGTCGTCAAAGAATTGTCTCAAGGAACCTATACTTGTAGTTCTAGCTAGATTAAGATTTTATGTGGATGTTAAACTTGCGGAATAGTGATCTCAACTTGTTGTATTCGTTTAGGAACGATAGAATTCATATGAGAAGTATAAGCATACCCCTCCAGATGAAGAATGTCGAGAGCAACACATATGTATCAACCCCTAAAGCATAAAATTACGGTTTAGACGACTTCCTTCACTTGACCTTATTGTACAAAACTCCACAACGCCCAATGTTGGTGTTCCCGCTCGTTAGATAGATTGATGTCACTCTCGTTTTGTAGGCTTGACGCTATAAACATGGATGTCAGCCGTTCGAGCCTACTTATCTTCAACTCGTAAACTTAGCCGGTACAATACGATCCCACAAAACTTATAAATGAATAACCGCAATGAATCTACCGCCTCGGCCTTTGGCCCTTGAGAAAAATATCTATTTAACTTGAAAATGGGGCCGAGTTGGGCATAAGTTCTGGGCCAGTCAACTCAAAGCACCTACCGGGCTAGCCTGCTGAGCTAGTGTTTGGGAGCGTCTTTATAATGGACCTCTGGGCCCTAAAATATCTCTGCAGCTCAAAACAGGGCCCAAGCCGTGGGAAGTCTGCTGGACTTGGCCCAATATGCTACCTAACACCAGTCAACCCAAGAAGCTACCCCGCTGGCCTGTTGATCTGGTCATTCGCGTCTTTTTCTTCCCTGTTGGCCAGCTGTTAGCGCACAGAAGCTTCAACGGTGGGAAAAAAACACAGAAATATACCAAACGAAAACTGGAACTGCCAAATTCTTCCTCTAATGGAGGAATTTGTACTTCGTTATTCCTTTTTCAATATTCACCGCAACGAATCCATACAATACAACAACAACAACAACCCAAGAACGAAGGAAGAAACTAGGCTACAGTGTCTCCGTAAATGGGGAGAATCAACGCAAGAGACCCAAAAAGAATTATCAATTTTTTCGTTTCCTTTTTTCCCCCGCCTATCTACGACTATGAATTCAATCGGCTCATCACTGAAAAAAGGTAGAATCAATCAATGAACGAGGTATGTGACTGCAAGCGCCAGCATCAGGAGAAGGTAAGCAATCCCTTGATCAATCGCCGTTCCTGCAGCAAATTCAAGCAAATTTCAATTACAAATCCGGGAAATACCCAGAAAAAAACCCATTTGATTTCGAGACTTTCTCGAGGAGAAAAAAACAGTGGGAGTTGAAATCGGGTAAAAAAAGCGAACTTACCATCGCTGGACGGGCCCTCGGCGGCAGGGGAAGGAGCTAAGCTCTGTCCGTAGCTGAGCTGGATAAGGGCGAAGAGAAAGAAGCCGATGATCGGAGCTGCGTAGAACTTCATAGAGCTCATGTTTTGGGGATTGAAGGTGGGTGAATTGGGAAACAGAGCAGAAAGGGAGAAAAGTAAGGAAAAACAGAGACAGAGACAGAGAGAGGTTCAGAAATGAGGGGAATGAATGAAAGGAGTGAAAAACGATGAGATGGGCGGAGGGAAATGGGGGATGTATTTATATAAGTGGGGAAAAGGAATGTTCTTTTTTAATAATAATGATGATAATTCTGCGCTGCAGAGAGAAATTTCCAGGCTGGGGGCTGCGGTGGAGACAGAGAAGAAGAAGACAGGGGAAGTAGGAAAGAAGGAACGCGTTTGGGAGATTAGGAAAAATGAAAAGGCACACATTTGACTCACTGAGTCGAGCGCGCTGAGTGGGTTTGATTAGTGGTGAGTCGCGACTCGGAGGCCGGAGATGGTGGCGGGCGGCCGGGCGGCCGCCACTGAGGAATTGGCTCGTGCCACGTTGAATTTTCCCTTTCAAATTTTGTTTTTGTGTTGGCATTTTCCCTACACGTTTGACGAACGGGGTTGAACTTTGAATTATATAGATGGTGTTCTAGAAATATTTTGAGTTGGATCGATTGACTGCATTTTATTTGGACCTTTTTCTCTTTTTGTGTTACTCATTTTTTTGCATGGGATTTTTTCTAGAATATGAAATTGTGACCTCACAATCTCACTAAACGAAGAGGGCAAAGTTGAAAGTATTAGGCTCGTTTATTGGTGGATAAGCTCATACGCGGTCCGACGTCTTGAGCAACAACAACAAAAAAAAACACACCTACTCGTTTTTCGTATTAATTTTCTTAGTTTCTCATACTTTATGCATCTAAGGGGTCGTTTGGTTAAAATAGTTACAATGCATCGTTTTTATTTTATTTTTTGCACAAACAAAGGATTAAAGTGACATTTCACCCAAAAATGATATATTTTTAGATACTACAATAACCATCACAGAAATCAAACGATGTGAACTACAATACATCAATTTTCTTATATACATGTATATTTATGCATAAATTGATAACAATTAATCAATTAAATATCACCAAAACCAAACGACCCCTAAGATTGTGTTGTTTTGAAAATACATAGACGATTGTGGTGTTATATATATTTCAAAACTACAAAAGAAAAAAAAAACATAATGGACATTTCTCTTCCCCAATGGCTTAGTGACATCAAGCTTCCTTGTGAGTTAAAAAGAGTGATTTTTCTTAAACAAAAGTCATTCAACGAGAACATTAGTAAATTATGAAGTTTTTTTGCTTGACTTTTTCCTCTCCCTTCTATTTTTAACAAAGTTTTCTTTTTTTGCCATAGAGGAAATATACGACTATTTTGTTGGTGAAGTTGAGAAATTCAAAAATACTAGATTGAGTTATGGGTGAGGAGGATCGTATTACCGTTGAAATTGTTTATTCTCATGTTAGTGTCATCCAACTACTTTTTATAATAATACCCAAAAATATTTTTTGGCCCTACGATATCTTTAACCAACAAGAGATGCACAAGTTCTTTGGAATGGGAATTTGGCAGATCCTTTCTGATCGAAGTGATATAGGTAAAATACTCTTATGACGCTACTGTTTTCAGCGATTTATGTAGATCGTTGCAGTTTTCAGCAATTAATTTTTTAAATTACTGAATATTGTAGCGATTGAACCTAAAACTTATGTATATTGAATAATTTTATTGTATGTAAGAATTTTTTATAACAACTTTGACAAATTGGGGGGAAAAATCCTTCAGATGGCAACAAGAGTTTTGTTTATCACGTTGGCCAAGTTAGTTAAATTAATAAATTGTTTTAAACACTATTTTTGAGTCACACGACGCCATCCCAAGCTGTGGCACTTTTGTGCGCCCATTCGTATGCCTGTCGTTTGGTCCATCTTCCTGGGCTTGGAGATGTGGGTTGGGTTTGAGGTTTGAACTTTAAAAACTTCAGTATCCATAATTCCTGCGGCCCACTTCAAAAGGAATGGGCCCAAACTAGAACTATTCTTAACCAATGGACTCAAATTTGACCCACGACTTTTGTAATAATTTGTTAACGAGATCGCGCGCTCTCCCTCTAGCCGTTCGCACGTGGTTCCATCAAGTGAATGCCTCTATCGATTTTAGCTATGGGTTTACATTTGTTAACGAGTCGATTCGGTGGGATTGTTTAGCATCATACATGAGGACGAGGGGGTGGAGTACAACCTTCATGCTCGCTCTCGAGCATCGAACTATCATCTTGCAACTCTTCTTCATTGTTTTCTCACCCATAATAGAAAGGTGAGGATCGGATGGATTCCCGTGATAACGATTTTTGTTAGTACTTATTATTACTACCACATGTGTCTATCAAACGATAACACATAATTTCATCTAGCACATCTTTCACACCAAAACTCTGTAATGACAATAGCCGAATTGCATTAAGCAGCTAATCAACCAACAGAAACTATCAATTAGGGCTTACTGGTTAGTTACCACTAAACCAACCAGTCTAATCTTGTTCCTCTTATTTTCCCCAATGGATATATCTCTCTGCTAATTTGGCATCATCACTACCCACAGATATCTCAGAAAAAAGTGAAAAAAGAGTACCAGAAGAGCTGACGCTGATCTGACTAGGAAAAACAAACAAACAACAACAACCAGAACAAAAAGCCAATCCACCAATTCCCCAAAACCCCATGCACAAAAGAGATACGTTCTCTCTCAGAAGAACAGAAAAGCGGATAGAATCGTTAAAGGCACACGAATGCATGATGCACACACACACACACCACTGTATCGCCAGGTGGAAGCATCAATGGCGCCACCTGTGCCAAACCCACCTCAAAAAACAGAGAACGAACATCAATTGAGATGATGATAGCTAGCGGCGGCCGTTTTATCTCTGTTATTATGCCACAGCTATCCACATAAATGGAAGCGTCTGGCCTCTTTGCTTCTGCTTCTGGGGAGCTCCACTCATGGCGGTTGAGGGCGCAAAGATAGATAACGAACGAAGGAACGAACCCCATGTCTCTGAAAAAAAGCATAACCCTTTTTTTTCCCCCATGAAGGAATATAATTATTAGCAGCGATCAAAAAGCTTCCTTCCCACCTTTTCTTCCTCTTTCGTGGATTCGGGTAGAACTTGGGTTGGCCCCTCTGCTTTCTTTAAAAAGCTCTCTGCTTTTCTTTACTTCTTTGCATAAACAACCCCCAATTTCTCTGGGTCACTTCAAGTCGGGCAGAGAGATTCTTTTCCCCCCTCTTCTCTTTTAAAACCTCTGATGCTGTAACTCAAAGAGGTTAGGAGAGCTTCCCACTTTTTTCTTTCTTCTTTCTTTCAATTCCTCAAGGATAGGAGAGATCAGAAGTTTGGAAAATGTGTCTCCAAGTTGTTCCTCCTCGCGGCGGCGGCCGTCGTTGCCATCATGTGGTGGCGATGGGTCGGAGATGGGTGGTGGTGCAGGGGATTGATGGTCGTGTGGCAGAGGATGCAGGGGAGGCGGCAGGGAGAGTTGTCACCGGCGGGGACGGCGGCGGTGGGATGAGGTGGTGCGTTTGTTCGCCGACGACGCACCCGGGGTCGTTCCGGTGCAGGTACCATCGAGCTGGTTATGTATGGGGCGCTGCCGCCGGCGCGGCGGCCAGCAGATCAATGGTGGCTACTACCACTGCAGAAGCATGCAGATGATGAGCGAAGAAACGGGAAGATGTGGGGGGGGAAGAGAGAAATTGAGCAAGATAGGGTTTTGTATTTGAATGGTGAAAAACAGAGTCCATTTTATCTGCTGTTATTTTCTCTCCTCTCTGCTCTGCCCTGTATCACAGAACAAGAAAACTCTCTGTAATTAGAAACCAATATGCAAGTTGAAGCTTGAATGGAAGTGGCAGGGGATGAAGGAAGGCAAAGCTCTGTTCTGAGGCCGGCCGATCTGTTTCAGAGAGACTATGATCTACTGCTCTTAACGATTCATTGTCATCTCTCTGTCGATAATTACTTAGCCTGTAAGGTCCAATGAATTTTCTCGATTCGAAGGAAGTTCTGAGGGTTGATTGGCAATGGAGATGACTTTAGCTAAAGGGGACTTTTTAAGAAGGAAGGAATAAGGTTCCAAATGCAGGGAATAGAAAGAATTTGCATGTTGCCAAGTTAAATCGCCGGCATTCTTTATGAATGGATGCCATATTCTGGTCACCAATGTCACAAAATTAGGATCAGAAACAGAGTTGGTGCCATATTACACTTTATTCCGATACTGCAATAATTCATGAAACCATTTTCCAACGATCCAAACAAAGTGGAGTGCTGTACCCCCACTTCAAATTGATGTAATCTTGCTTTCTAGCTTCTCCTTTGTGAAAAAAGGACTCATTCTGATCCCGTGAGGAGGAAAAAAAAAAAAATCATTCCGGCGAAGAACCATGAAGCATGTGATGTTGCCAAAAAGGCCTCAATCGGCAATCTACAACACTGAAGACTTCTAACCAAATACCTCTCTAACCAAGAGAATCGTCGACAAAAATTGTAACCCGTGATTCCTTCAGAAAGGAGGACAACAATTCTGCTACTTACCCAAAGTAACAAACTTCGCTGATGGGATCAGCTATGAGTAAATCAGTATATGTACAGGATAATGTGTTCATGTAATACGCATCAGTTAGCTTCCAATCCGACGAAGTTGGTTGTCAGCAGGTAGTGAACACAAAGCTTATTTACGACTTGAAAAGTCTCTAATAACACACCTGCACAATACGTGAAGCCTCTGGCTGAAGGAGAAGCCGGATTTCGCTCTTCTATCCAATACGCGATACAGGGATCAGGATTCACGAACATTACACCATATATACTTGGGGGGTTTAACGAGCGTTGTGCTGTCTGATTCCAAGCTTCTGAGGTCACTGACAGAGTTGCACAGGAGGAAGTAAGAATGGATCAGTGAAGTTGACGACGGAAAAACATAGAACAAACAATGTAGGGAGAAAAAGAATGAATGTTGGAATCGTCGGTTCAAGATATAGCAGGTATGTGAAGACTGTTTCCGATTTTGAATGCTACCCTTCCAAAACAGATCAATGGATGCAATCTTATTCGCTGATGATTGACGTCTATGTTCTCAGCCTTGTTTGTTTGTGCGTTTCCATATATACAGGCATGAATGATGCAATGATATAGCAACTAACGAAGCACACACAGACACACTCTCCTTTCGAGTTGGCTCACTACGATGTAAACCAAGACATCACAAAAGGCACAAAGGAATCAGAGTTCCTTACCACAGGGTAGCAATTTTGCCGCACAACAGTCTGGTTGCTTGTACTCAGATAAACATCACAGGATACTTTCCCCTGCAACAGTGCCAAAGAACTTATGTCATCCCAAAGCAAAAACCAGAAGAATCATTGCCGAACAAAACGAACAAACCCCCTTTCACACAGAGTTGAATGGAGAAACTGCAATAAGCTGCTAGCAACAGTAAAGCAAGCATTCGACTCGTGTAGAATCTGTCAGAATTCAGCAACTCTCCAAAGAGCCCTCTTGACAAGCCATAGCATCAAAACCAAATTAAACAACTCTTGCTCTCACAGAGAGATAGAACCTAGTCAAGAACCAACTCAATGGCAACATGGCATTTCACTCCATCAGAGGCATTGCAGGCTGATCTCTCTTCCATCAAATAGCCCAATTCTCGATCAGTTCAAAAGGATCTACCCAAAACCCTAAATTTGCAATCCTCTGAAATCATACCCAATGCACTATCTACAACAAATTTTACAAAGTTCGCCGCTTCCCATCATTGTATGTTGGAAATGTGTATGAATAGCTTTGAAAGCTATAGACTCAGCCAGATCGGTAACCCTAATTTTTCTGTTCGATTTCTAACATTGTATAATTCGTGAAAAAGTCACGGAGGGAGTGAAGGAGCGAGCTTACCTCGATGGGGATCTCGAAGAACAAGAGCCCAAGATCGCCGCTGACCGTGGTCGTCGTATCGAAAGAGACGACTCCCTTAGCCAAATCCTCGAGCAAGTAGAAGGCATCCAAGAAGAACTCGAGCCCGTTCAAATTAAGCGCAGCGTCAACGTACGACGAACCCCTGGCCTTCACGATGCCACCGATCGACCTCACGACGCCGAGCTGCCGCCCTCTGTACCCGATCGAGACGGAGAGGTAATCGTAGTCGAGGGAGAAGAAATCTGGGTTCCGGACCTTGACGGTGAGGGATAACGAGACGTCGAGCGTGAGCTTCGGCGAGGAGTGGACTTGGATGTGGTTGAGCCCGACCCGGACGACCGTGATTTCCGGGTCGGAAGGGTAGAGGAAGAAGAGGGCGGCGGAGAGGAGGAGGACGACGGCGGTGAAGGCGGAGCAGCGGCGGAGGAAGAGGAGGGTTGGGCTTGGTCGGTGAGGGCGGTAGTAAGGGAGGACGATCACGTTCTGAGGGTAGACGGCGGGGATGGCGGTGTAGGGGACGGAGGATTCCGCCGGAGAGGCGGCGGCGGCGGCGGCCTTCCACGGCATAGGCTATCTGTTTCCGTCGTCTAGGTTTCTTTTTGGGCCGGGTCCTTCTGGACTCGATTACTTTGACTAATTGTGATGGAGGAGTTGCGTGGTTTAAGAAGAAAACGATGCCGTATTGGTTAAGGATTGCTTTAGAAAAATCAAAAATCAAATACGCATTTGTTGGTTTCTGACTTTCTTCTACTACTGCGACGCGGCAAATGACAAGACTTGTGGATTGTAGGGTTTTCCAATTGATGTCTTTTGAGTTAATATTCGAAGTTTGAAAAAAATAATTTAAGGTAGAAATTAAAACTTGCAAATTTAATGTTCCGGTATAAATTTAGTTTGTATATATGTTTTTTTTTACAATTTTATACAAACTGAATTTGTATTTTTATGTTATGGTACAGACTAAACTTGTATCACAAACATAAATGTAGAAATTTATTTGTGATACAAACTGAACTATACGTTTAACATTATGTTAGAAATTCATTTTGTATCTTAAAGTACCAATAGTTTAGAGCGTAGTAGAAGGGAACCATGAAGAGTTGTGTTGATGTCAATGTTCGATACTCTCCAAAATAGGTTTATACAAGAATTTTCTATGGTTAATCATAAGATGCATATTAGTTAGGACTTAGAAGGCGTATTATTAAAGTCGGACTGAGCCGGCCGGTTCGATCGATATAATCGATTACCGAACCCTAGTCTAGTCAATGTTATACTTGTGATCGCTTATTGAGAGCTAGTTTGATGAATTTGAGCAGTTAAACTACCAAACTGTTTAGACCACTTAGTCGGTTTGACGAGTTCAAGCCTGTCCCCAATATTTGTTAAAATTTTGGAGTGACAATTTGAACACACTAACATCTTCTTCAATTGTTTACCAACTGTACTACAAGCTTTATAGTGAAGATATTATGACCTCTTAATATATAAAACATTGAACTCTATACTAATTCTTTATCAAGAAATTAACATTTCCAAATACTTAGTAACAATTTTGTTGCCTTGCATTTTTCTTAACAATTTTAGTTCCTTTTGAAATTTCGAGATCGAATTATTATGGTTATTGTGTAATTATTGTATGGATAACTAATGTTTCCTTGATGTAAGGTATAGGTTTGTTGACGGTTTTATACTAAATAACCAGTGAAATGTGAACCACTCATTACAGCGGTTAATCCTCGGGTTCGGGTATGAAAACATTGCTTAGAAAGTTGATAGTGTCCTACAGTTGACAATATTTGCTTGCTGTGTTATTTAAGAATTTGTAGGGCAACATGATTGTTACGGGGTCGAATGTGATTCTATTGTAGATGCTTAGTATATGAAAAGAAAGCAAACACAATATACAAGGTTCTTGTACTCATTTTATAGACATTGTTCTATTTGAAATGACAATCATAACTATGAATTTCATTTAAAACTTTGAGTTCTCAAGTCTACTCAGAATATTGAGTTATTAGAAAGAGAATTTTTTTGTGCCAGTCTGTCCTGGAAAACATAAAATTTTTCCTAATTTAGCAAACAAATACACAAAAATATTTCCAATCAGACGACGAAAAATATCTCGTATCTTTTGATTGGCATTACCATTTTGGTATTAGATATATAAATAACAAATGTATAATCACACCAGACATCTCGAACATAAGACCATATTATATATTTAAGAATTTATATATACAATATAATATAGATATTCGACAAAAAATATATTATCCATAATATTAAGGTGATATATATTTTTTTATATTTGTCAAGTAAATCTATATCATAATTATTTTCTAATTTGGTAAAAAAGATAAGTAAGTACATGAATTATTCCCAATAATATTTTTCCATGTAGTGTGGGAAAAATTCAATAAGGCAATTACATTAATTTTCAATAAGAATTATCCCATTTAGAGTGAGAAAAAAATAAATAAGGCAATAACATTAATTTTTAATTATAAAAATTATTCCATTTAGTGATGGAAAACTCATTATCATACCCAATTTATATTATTATACTCAATTCACTACACTTCCCGTCCAGTATAAATAAGTATCAAACATATCCGACGAAATCAACATTATCCTTTCTGTCTCCATATACCATCTAACCTTATATCCCCACCAATTTCCTTTTGCTTTCCAACTGTTTCAAATGGCAGACAATAGCAACAACATCGTTGCCAAGAAAACAAAAGGGAAGCAAAAAATCGAGATGAAAAAATCGAAAAAGAATCAGACATGATAATCACCTTCTCCAAACGAAAGTCAGGAATTTTTAAGAAAGTACATGAACTTATCACATTAACTGGCAATAAGGTGGGATTTTTGGTCTTTTCTCCTGCAGGAAAACCCTTCAGTTTTGGTCATCCATCATTCAATGATATTGTACTCCGATACCTGGGCCAACAAACGGAACCCCAATTACAATCCTACAATGGAGAGATGTTTATGCAAGCTAGGATCCAGGAGCTGAACGAGACACATAACTCGCTACTCGACTTGATGGAAGAGCAAAACCAGAAAGAAGCGACGTTCAGGCGAAATCTTGAGGGTAAGCCACTAAATAACTGGTGGAACAAAGGTGTGGAAGAGATACAGGTGGGCGAACTTTCAGATCTTGAATATGCCTACTCAGATCTGTTGGCGAGGGTGGAGAAGAGGAGAATGGAAATAGTGAACCTTGGAAATTATATGACTAGTCTTAATGTCAATATGAATGGTTGTTTCAATGCTTCCTCTGCTTTTGCTATGCACCCTTACCATCACATAGTGAACATGGGATTGATAGCAACGTCGCCTGTTCAGAGGGTGGATCAACGACTCAACATGATGCCAACGATGATGACAACAACGTCTAATTATTCGATAGTTGGTCAAATGGATGGTGGAATCAATAATGCACTAGATCATCCATCATCCTCATTCGAAGTTCTTCATTCCAATGTATTTGGCTATGGTCCCAAACCGCTTTAGAGATGTTTAGCATTTAGTTTTGTATGTTTTTTCTTTTGATTTTAGACAAAGAACAATAAAGAATTTACTATGGTTTATATTTTGTTAGAAAGAAGACAACTCTTAATAAACTAGTCCTATTTGATCTTACGAACGCTACATCGAACTCTTGAGATCCACAAAAAATCGGACTTGAAACTCTTGCCTTGCCCAGCATCTTTTACGGACTTAGTTTTGAGGGAAGTGTTAAGCAAGTTGAATTAAATGTTCCATGGGTGATTAGTTTGTAGGCATCTCTTCTATAGAATGAAACTATGGATTCACAATTCTCCATCCACAAAATTTTGAATTCCCTGGGTTTCTCTGTGATGGTTGATTAGAGAGAAAGGGCGCAGGACAACGAAATAGGGAGAATTTTTTCAATCTGTTTTAAAAAGTAAATATTCATTAAGTTAAAATCTTCCAGTGCAAACAAAACAAACTGGTATAACTTAGCCATATTGACATCTATGTCCATATTATGTTGGCACCGTCACAATTCAAATCATGTTAAACTGATCAATTCAAATCTCAAGTCACAAATGTTTGAAATTTTTGCTGTAAGATCATTTCGAAAAACTCGTAACCGTACAATAAATGCCAGCATTGCAATGATGATAATTCGAACTTTTGGATAACTTACGAATTCATTAATTGAAATTACTAAATTATTTCATATTTATCCCTTATTTTTTTTATTCTATTAACTCAATAAAAGATTAGTTCAATAATCCAAATTTGATCACTGGTCGTAACCTTCCCTAGTCTGTGTTAACATAATTCATTTTTTTTACCGATGTGGCTAACCAAAATGCTTAGTAAGCCAATTTTCACCCGAAAAATTCAACCCAACCCGCCACTTCAAATTCTCAACTCGACCCAACCAAACCAAACCGAAACCCACCACACCAGATTCCCCAACCCAATCACATCATCTCTTTTCCCCCTTACTAACCAAGTTTCCCCTTAAAAATCAGCAATTATAACCAACCATTACTACTAAATCAAAGTATCCAACATATCACATAGTAAACACTAAACTATCAATAATCTTTTTGCAAGTCCTCAAAAGGGTTACACTAAGCATAAAAACAAGATAAAACTGCTTTTCCCCTTTCTCTCTCTAGTCTCAATTTTCCCAGCTCTCTGTATTTTTCCAGTCTCCCAGGGCTGCCGCCGGCACATCTTGGTGACCGGCGGTAGCCCAATCCTCCTTTTCATTTCCGATTTCCTTTCGTGCTCCTCGTCCTCTTCCTCTGTTTTTTCTTGTCTTTCCTTGCCATTTATGGCATTTTGCAGCCGTTGTGGCATTTTGCAGCCGTTGTGGCTTTTCTCGTTCCCTAAGTGGTTCTTTCCACATTCCTCTCGTTAGGAGGAGGATAGTCCGGTTTCTTCTATAGATCTTCTAGATCTGGTTTGGCTCTGCTCTGTTCTGGGTTCAGAGGATGCATATTGGGTTTCTATCCAAGCTTGGTGTGGTCATCTTCTCTTCCTTAAGGGTGATTGCATTCACCGATTCCCCATCCGTCGTCGCCCCTCGAGGCTTCGACTGACTGTAGTGGAAGCGGTGTCTCCTTCAATTGCTGAGGCGGGTGAACTTTGGTTGCAGTAGGTTTGAGATTCATTCAGGGTTTCGTTTGTTACAGTTTTTGTGTGTTGTTGGGAGTGTTTGTGTTGCTGGGGCGGCTTCTTTGGTTTCTGGGTTTGGGTTTGTTTTGGTGGTTCTCTGTCGGCGTTTGGTTTTGCAGGTGGTTTCTCTTCTCGGTTCTGCTTTTGTGTGGTTGTCTTTCAACCCTTGGGTGAATCTCACACTACTTTTTCATGGCTCTCTCCGCTCCGGTCCCGTTGGCCTTGTTTTCAGCTCTGAGCAACCCGTTCACAGTCCTTTCCACCGCCGCGCAATCCCTATTCGGCGATTCACTGTGATGGGTGTCTTTGAACAACCCCCAGCAGGCGGCATATGATTTAGCAATGCCTTTATCATGGTCAAGACTAGTTTTGGGTGAGCTGAAGCTGCTGTGTTCCACTCCGGTTGATATGATTACAAAGTTTGCTGATTCCTGTGATTTGGCTCATGGAAGGTCCCCTTGTTGTTTCTGTTCTTGTTGTGTTGCCTTCTGTATTTTTTTGGCTGTTGCTTTCCTTGTAGGTGTTCTCTGGATGTTGATGTTCTTTACTGGTTGGTTTGGATTTTCTTTCTTGTTTGGGGTTTTATTTCTGGTAGCTGAATTTCAGGGGTTTTCCTCTTCTTTGTAACCGTGT